ACCATTACCTTTTTTAAAAACTTGTTACATTTGCTGTTGCATGCACCATGAATTTTGATTTAATTACTATTATAAATATTTAGTTTTTATGGTAAATGTATATCTTTGTAAGAATTTCCCTTTATAGCAAAAAAAAAGTCAACATTGATTTCTGCATGGTACTTAAAGGCTGGTATTGGCTTGTATCCAATACAGTGGATTGTAGGCTTGGTTTGTTAACAACCAAAATGAGAGTTTTAATTGGTATTGCTGTCTGTAGCATTAGCACAAGCTCCTTAATTTGCGGTAACGGGTTTGACGGACGCGTTATATCTTATTTAACCTTCTAATGAAAAGACCCCAAGCTCTATTGACCTTTAATTATGGTCATCCTGAAGATTGGTGGTGGTAAAATGGTGTAATAAGGCTTTTAGAGATTTGCATTAGATTATAAATCTTGGACATTTGTTTTAGAAGTCAGTTTTAATTCACTTTTTAAATGGTTGCTAGCTAAAAAATTGTAAAAATTTTGAAACAAAAAAATGTGATTTTTACTTATGATTGTTGTAGTGCAAAACAAAATGTAAATATTAGGATATTAATATCTTGTCCTGTTTGAATTTGTGATTATGTTGGATTAATGTTTTCACTTTTAGTGTAAATTTGGTCACTGAAAGATAAGTTGGTTCAGTGTGCATAACTATAATCATTGATATTAATTGTTGGTTATAGTGGTTATATACTGTAGTTTGCTTTATTCGGTAGATAATTCCATTCTATAATCAAGATATCAAGGCAGAGTAATATATATTATTGATTCAGGCTTCAATAAGACCATATTTAAAAATTTTAATGTAGCGAACTGTCTCTTATACACATCTAGATGTGTATAAGAGACAGATGATTAAATTGTATAAGTCATATATTAGGTGTATATACATCAATTTCTACCCGAGTAAGGTGTATAAGACATATATATCTATTAGGTATACGTCAATTTCTACCTGACAATTACACATTATTAAACTATATTGATACCAAGATTAATAATTGACTTCAGTGTATTACTAGATCGACATGATTTCATTTGCTCCTTCAATTGGTGAATTTGATCTTCACCTTTATTTAAATGATGCATTTAACTCTTCAATTAAAGCTAAATGTTTTCTTAATTGTCCAACAACTGCAATCTTTGTGAATTAATTTCCATACATGCTGAGATTAATAGTCAGTAAGTAGTTGTTGTTCTCAGTATGTTGAAGTAATAGCAGTGCGTAGGCGCCATTGCCGTTGCAACGTGGTAAGTATCACAGGTCGTGGGCAGAAGAGTTAAGCTTCACTCACATTGACTTTACCAATGCAGTACTAATGAAATTTTCATGTCGTTTTATTAATTTTTCAAAAGCTTTCTGGATAGGTTTGGTCCAGTTGCCATGGTTATTGTGTTAGTAACATATGTAGTGTATACCTGATTGGATTAATGTTGCATGTGAAGAGAGGTTTATTACAATTGTGACATTTTAAAGTTTTATAGGGAGTGGGTGGGTAAGTAGATGCTAAGCACACTCAAGACCTTCAAAGTTGGTTGTTTTTAATTTTTTGTAATTTTCTGTCAAATTAAACTTTACAAAGGTCTGAACATGGATATTTTAATTGCCTATTAATGTAGGTTATTTCAATTTTGTGAAATTATACACTAAACAACTTCTCATTTTCTTGATTAATACAAAAAACTGATAAGGTTTTGTTGCAGTATATTTTCATTACTTTTTATATCTTTTAAGTGCTGCTTGTCATTCCTTAAAATTAAAACAATAATTTACAATTTGTTAAATTAAATAAGCATTTATTTCAGCAACTTCACAAATTACATTTCTTTCTTACTAACATGGAATAATAACAATTAGTAATAGGAAGAATGATATATGTGAGAACTAGCCATTATATTATTATATATTATTATTATCTTGAAGTAGTCATTATATATCTCTGTTCCTTTAGATTAGTGTAGCCTTGCTCATATTAGTTTATCCGTTGGAAATGTTCCCAAGTCAACACTTACATAGTTTATATTATACAGAAGCCTATAATGGCTCTGATATCTCGGCCAAGGATTCATTTATATCCTTTGAATCAGCCGCCACATTTTATAATACAATACTTGTCAATTTGAATATTTGTGGTTAACTATTACTAGTAATGGATTCATTTGTTTCTGGTTGTTCACTCCAGTTATGATGCTATCCAATTAATATTTTCTTATTTAATGACTAATTTTCTGTTTTCAATTATATGGACTGAATATCCTATTATTAAACTTCCAACTTCCTTATGCCCATTACATTTTTGATTGATTTACAATAATGATTATATAATATGATCTTTGATAATTAGTTATTGCATTATCAATTATGTGATTGTTATATTTAATAACATATATTGATTAAGTGATTGGTTATTGTAATACATATTAATTGAATATCAGTATATTATCATTTATTTCATTTCATATATTTGTTGCGTATTGAAATCATTGATAAGACATTGATTCTTAGTGGATACTTTAATATTATTGATCAGTTCATTTAGTTTAGTGTCATTGTCATGGAAATACATTTTACCAAATGGTTGTTTCAGTCTGTATTTTTCTCAAGCCTTGTAAAAATCAACCAATTAACTACAGTATACACATTTTCAAGTAATAGTAGTAGTAAGCCTGTAATTACAAGGACAGCAGTAGCACTGGGAATTTAAATAGTACCCTTTACAGAGGGATGAGAGTTACTGAAAGTATCATCATTATCAACATCAGTGTATATATTTTTACACTTATTTTTTGCTGTAACACATTGTCTTCCCACAATATTATTTTGGAATGTTAGCAACAAAAACAAATTATATTATTACAATTTTCAATCAATAATATTTTAGTTTTATAAAGCATAACAGGCAGATAAATCTTACTTAATCTTGTATCGATTAGATTTTGCATGTCAAGTGTATTTAACTACCGAAAAGGCAAGACTGCTTTGGTAGGATTAAGATTCACATTTACTTAGGTACTTTTTGTATTTTTTTTTACTTTCAATGTGTGATTGCTTGAGTTGAGAATTCAGTAGTTCAGCAGCATACAGGTCCCACCCACGCATTGGCTTACACGGCAGTTAAAAATGATGTATTGACTAGGGTGTGATAGAGGGTAAGACATGTTCTGACCTTAAGACGTGTACTGACCTTACGATGTCATAATGGTCAAGTTATTGGCAGAGATTTTATGAGGGTTTGATCCTAACTTTGAAATAGTACTTTGAGACACATACTCTGCTACTGTATGTGATTAGAGGCATTTGAATTTGGAAAATGTTATCAAAGCTAGGGTTTTTTTTTTTATTACCAAGTCCATTTACATAAAAATGCTTTCATTCGGCTGAAATACGCAGTCCGGAGAGAATGTATCCATCCTACTGTAGTATTTTTTCAGATTCAGTTGTACTACTTACCAATTTCAGAAAATGTGGAATTACATCTAATAGATACTTCTCTAGATTTGATCCATGTAGAAAGGTTAATTGAAGTCGGTAAATCACTAGATATTCGTACTTGCCTTGACCCTACCAGATTTGACAATTGTAGTAGTAGATGTGTTTTGTTAGTAAACACTTAGCCAAATTTGCTCTAATAACAAGACAATTTTTAAAGTCTGTTACTGAAGATAATACGTACATAAATTGTCTCCAAATATGTCAGCCTGAATTTTTTTTAAATTGGCACAGTTATTGCCACTAGTAAGTCTTACTTGCTGTGCTTCTATAGGTGTGTGTGCCTACCCCTCCGTTCCACATCCCAACAGATTGGCTCAATGTACAGTACTTGAGAACAATATCTACACAATATGGTTATTGGTTGACTATAGTTTTGCTTTTCCACTTGCCGAAAAATGGAAAATTCATGTTAGGTTGGCGATACCAAGTCTAGGTTTGATTGCACACTTACAGTACATCACTTAAATAAATGCCCTATATCATCATACCAAGTCCTGAGTCTAAGTACATACTTACTACATATATTAATGAATGCCCTACATCTTCAGTTTCCTTAATTGTCTGGTTCATTTAAAGTCGTTTACAACATTTCTACATATTTACAGACCTTAGTAAAACCCTCCATTTTCAGAATTGAACAGTTTTCTGTAAGTAGACAACATTCTTAAACATACATTTTATACAATAGTTTAAAATCATAATAATCAAAAGTTCTTATGTTTTTGTGGTAAGCTATGGTGCTATCCATAATCTCATTTACATCTCTAGCGTCATATGACAGAATTAATTGATTATGTGTAGACTTCACTTTACTTTCATTTTTTGAGCCTTCACACCAAGGGGACTTTACAGTGGTTAATTGCCTCAGAATTAATAATCCCAGGTGTTTTAGGAGGATCCCAGGTGTTTCATCAACATTCCTTATACTAGTCTCCTCATTGAGATGCTGTAATTAAATTGATTTTAAAGCCATATCATTAGATATTCTTAAGTTATCTAGTATTTTTTTTAGGGAATAATTTTATGTTGAGTTTGAAGTAACAAGTCATCAATGTTAAGCCACTGAGCGATGACATTAGTAAGTGGGGAAACTCTGTCACAGTTTTTAGTGAAAGGGTGTCAGGGTGGCGAGCTATTAGCTTTGTTAAACGCAGTCTTAGGGTGTAGGGAATCTTTAAGCTAACAGGTTGTCGTGGAGTTACAAGCTTAATGACACCCTCAGGTTAAATAGCTTTTAGCTATGTCACAATTTATCAAGGGTTGGAGAACTACCCTGGCTATATCATACTCAGTGGAAAGAGCTATTTTACAGTTTACTTAGGGTTTGAGACCTACCCTTTAATCACATTTAGTGTCAGGGTGAAGGGCTACTTTTACATCTCAATCAGTTATGGGTGTGACTTAACCTTATAAAAAAAAGTTTTATTTTATCAATATTATTATTATCATTTAATTTTAAAAATTTGTTTGGTCTTACAGACAAGCCTGTGAATATTGCAAGTTTCATGTTCAGACAGAGTACCGCAAGATGACGTCCAAGCGTGCAGAGTTGCAATCTTCGTAAGTTATCTGATGTAATTGATTATATTTTGATGATGTTGACATTTTTTGTTTTTTCTTAATTGACTATTGATTATGATATGGGTGGTATTTCCCAGGCTTTGGCAAGGGCAGATGATGTATAGCTAAGGTTCAGACAGGTGAGATTTGTTAAAATGACAAAAGGTAGAATTTTTATTTTAAAGTGATAGATGAATAGCCTAAATTACTCTTCTTTCTATTCCAAAATGATTAACATCCTGAGTTTACTATTTGGTGATTGGCTATATGATACAGTGTCTAATGACACTGTAGTCACTGACTGTTAAGGTGTTCTTTACAAGAATTTGAATATATTGTTCTGACAATACAAATAAAAAGTGTGTGTGTTCAATTTTGGGGTTTGGTGAAAACTCTTAACAAAATTGGTTCTCTTTTCTTCTCAGCCCTGTTTATTCTTACACTCTTCCCATACAAACATGGTTTGTATGCTCTTTTACTACACTCCTTAACTGTATTAAAATTCCTTAATAGAAAAAAATAAAAATCTCAAAAGTTATTAGGTAATGCACAAAAGTGTTTTAACCTTTTCGTGACTCTACATAGTTGACATTTTTCGTACAGAATTTTTTTAGTACATTAGCGTGCAGAAGCTGAGGGAAGGAGTATAATAGAAGGGCTGTAGGATGAACCACATCATGAACTTCTGAGCTCAAAGTACCTACATAACATACGCACTTACACAACAAACTGATTGTATTTAACAAACAGCATTTTATATCGTAGCTATGATCACAAGCCTCCTGTTGCTTCTGCTTTTAATGATATATGACAGTGACACCTACAAGTGACAGTTATTGTAGTTCATAATAGGCAGTGGGAATTAACTGTGACCCATTTGCTCCGTTGGGTAATTTTTTTATAAATCCCAGCTGGCTAGTACAGAAGACAACATATTTCACCAATGCATGCAGTATGGTGAGCTTATCCAAAGCTGTATAGTTTACTCTTCATTTATGAACTGCTGCATTAATGAATAGAAATTACACCCTTTGATGTTCCTTTTATTATACTTTGAGAGAAGACAGCTGATCATTTGCACCCCTAATTCTCTTGTCCATGTCTCTTTATAAAGCCTAGGGAGTAAAAGCCAATTATATCGTGTTTGTGGTGCTCTGTAACCAGTGCTCTATAATAAGGATTTGGGATTTGAGAGCTGATCATTCTGAAATTTAATGCTCTATCAGTCTCTTCAAGTTTTTTAGTTGTGTGAAAATCTTGAAATAGAACCATGAGATAAGGCAAGCCTGATTGCACCGGCACAGACCTCACTCCAAACTGACCATGTTAAATATGTTCCTGTGTTTATGTAATTCACCATCTGTTTACATCAAAGAATTTTTTAATATACATTTATGTTCTTTGAATACTGATACATTCAGTTCATCACATAACATCTTAGTAGACCTAGATCGACATTATAAGAATGATGAATATACATTAAATGTATTATTGATTGTCAACTCCATCTATACATAGACATTACCTTTAGCTTGAATGATAAATGTTGTTTTTTAATACATCCCAAATTATGATGAATGTGTATTTTGGTAGTAGATTTACAGTATAACCATATATATAATTTTTTTGCAATGTTTGAACGATTTTAGATTCTTTAGTTAGTATCTACATAGAATCCAAAAGTTATAGGCTTATTTCATGTGCTGAGATACATGTAAATGGTATAGCAAATTTATACTTTTGTTATGTATTTTGTATTTTTATATTTTACCACTTATGGCCTTGCACGGCCTTGATGAAAAACACCCTTGGGTGATCAAGTTTTTCCGTGTTTAAATAAAGTAATTATTATTATTATTGTCTTGTATTGCCTGTCATCATATTTATCATCATCATAATCATAGATCATCATGACCATCTGTCATTATAGATGACCGAGTTATTATTTTATTTTTAATGTTTCTTTGTAAATGAAATGGGAATTACTAGATTTAGCATAATCATTTTTTATTTACATTAAAACCACATCCAACTTCCAATAAAAAGATGGCTTAAACTTGCTACTACAGTCTCTGATGCAGTGGTTATAATTAACATTCATATAAAACAAACTAAATATCAACAAGATATGAAATCATGAACAAGTAAAAAAAGTAGCTATTGTACATTATATGACTATCCTCACCCTAATTTATTTAGAGGAGAGGGGTTTTGCTACTGCTGTTTTTTATTTTTTAACAGAAAAAGTTTCAAAATGGCATACAAACTCTAAGTTACAATATTTTGTTACAACATGAACACGAATCATATAATATTGGATTCTATATGAAATTGGTGCCCCCTGTATTTGTCTGCATATAATTTTGCCCACAACCTATCCATTTTACTTGTCTGATTTGCTATCAATTAATGCTATCAATGTCCAGCGTTCAACAGCTGCTTTCACAGTCATGTTAAGAATCACACACAACTTGTGATATTGAACCATTTAAACCTTCCAAAATACTTTGTGTAGTGATTAAATAAATATAGTTATATCAAAGTGACAGGTGCAGTTACCTATAGCATATTTGACCTTTATAGTAATATAAGTATTTGTTAAGAGCAGAGCAGATTACGTGAAAGAAAAAAGCAAAGAACATGATGCACCAATGACAGTTGAAAACAATCCCATAGACCAAGTAGTTTAAATAGGATGACAAGCGAGTCAAATTAATGTTGCGTTCCCTTCCAAGAATTTCAAAATGATTGAGTCAGATTTAATAGCATTGTGTGGAAACAGCGTAAACACATATTTTTTTTGTCCAAATTGTTTACTTAGAGTGTTTGACTGACACTTTAATTGATTGGATTAATTTTATTTATTTTGTATACAAAAATCAAAAGGCTGATAATGAAAGTATAATAAATAAATTCAAACATTTTTCGATATGTTGCCTGATGATTCACTGAGGTTGCCTGATCTACTTTATGTTCCTTGTTCCAATAGCCATTTTCAGGTTGAACGTACACCTAGCTATTGAGAAATCCTTGGATTATACAATTTTAAAAATATAAAAAAACAAAAAGGATTGAATTTATGTAAGATGGGACTCAAATTGTCCTACATCAGGCTAGTGAAAGGGTGAGATTTTCAATGTTTCATCAATCATAAAATTTATAAAGTGTTGAATAGAACAGGTGAGAAGATGCACCTTGGGCTAGGTAAGGTAAATATAGTAACAGAGATAAAAAAAGTATTTTTAATAGTAATAATGTTAATCAACCATTATTGACATGTGATAGGTATATCTGTTCACTGTACAGTTGTAATTTAAGGAATCACAAAAGCTAATATACAGTACTATGTAGTATTGATAATTTGATTAAGTTAATGGCCAGATTGTTTTTCAGAATTATGGTTAAATATTGTGTTTGTGTTATTAATAATTTGTATGGTATTTATTTTAAGTTATACATCGCTTTTGTGGTGATTTTGTTTACCATTTTGTATGACCGGTGTTTGACTTATATACTTTTGAGGCACGTTCCTTTTACTAGTCATGAGTTAGTCAGAGCTAAATTAGGTGACAAGTCATGTTCATTTGCTATGGGCTCCTTAATAACATCCCGATCCCATTTAAACAATTTAAATTTCAATCTATCTCTCTCTTGTTATATTAAAAATCAAGACGATAATTCTAGAATTTCTTCTTTCTTGGAAATGTTGCTTAAAGTAGCCATCCGATGGCTACTAGTCAGTTTTGCTCTAACATTGCCAAGTGTGTTGAATAATAATCATTTGCATCTATTTATATTGTAGCTTTGCATGAATATTCAGTTTCAAATGCTTTTACTGAATTAGCTTTCTGCTCTTCATACCCCTTGTGAAGTAACAAATTTAATGTGCGTTGCCCAAAGACATAGCTAAATGGCCAACGTGGGATTCAGAATCAAAGCATGCCCTCACAGTTGCGAAGTCCTCGACATAAATGAGGTTAAGTGCAAAGTGACCACCTATGCTAGGATAGGATAGACAGAATGATGGCTCAACATTAGTTAAAGACAACAAACTAGGTCAACATTAGTTAAAGACAACAAAGTAGGTTAACATTAGTTAAAGACAACAAACTAGGTTAACATTAGTTAAAGACAACAAACTATGTTCCTTGTCATAGGGTTCCAAGTCACCCACAAGCCGTGAGAGTTTCACGGAAATCAGGACGGCCTCTCACAATCCTGCTAGCAAGCAAGAATCTCCAGGACTGAAAATTAGCAGTCGCCCAGTCGCCAGTGGCGACCTTTTTTGCTGTTGGGCGATAATAAATTCCTTGGGTATTGCCCGTCTGGGTTTTGAGGTTTTTGTAGTTTTTGTCAAGTTGTTATGTTTAAGCTCTCATTTTGTGTCAGACCTTTGAGGTTTCTCATTGTGTAATTGTCAAATGGTTGGTAATATAGAGTACTACAGTGTTATGTCACGATACCACGTGATACTTCTTCATTGCTATCAGTGTTCAGCCGGACGCCATTTGCTCCACTGACAAACCATTGATCCCAAACTCTAACATAATTATTAGGATGTTGTATCTTAGTTTTTCTTTGTAAATTTTAATTGATGATTAAATGTGTGTTCGATAACTAATATAATGCGAGCTTTTGTGTTTTTAGTACATTTTGATGGTAAAATGTTAGATTTTAAAATGCCTACTCCAGAAAGCCTATGAACAGTAACCAACGTCTGGTTGGTGACAGACGGCGCCACCTGGCATTGTGACGACATGACTGTGGTACTCTATGTATAAAATTTGTGTTATTGTCTCTTTAAGGTTGCTTATTGTATCACTTTAAGGTTGCTTCTATTGTTGTCCTTTTGAAAAATAATGTTTTTATAGGGTGACTCTTCAAGCTTATAAGGTCCACTATACAAGGTTCCTTAAATGAATATTGTAATGCTTTAAAGTCAAAATGCAATGATAATAGGTGTGTGCAGAGTTTAGCATCATATCAAATGAGAAAGAGTACATTTAAGCTTAAATAGAGTATAATTTAAAATGAATTTAATAACTTGCCTACTCAACCACAGTTCTATTTCATTGATTGTTTCCTTTTCCAATAAGTGAATACTTTTTAAATCTAGTACATGAATAGTAACTATATCCACAGGATAGATGGAATATTTGTTAGTGATGTTACCATGGTATTCATTATATGACAACAGTAGTCTATTACTATATGTATTTATATGGTTGATTAACCAATTCTACATATAGGCACGTTATTTTTTATCTGAGCATGTGCAGTAAACACACAGAAAAGAAAATTTTGACAGAAATAATATTGTATATTAAAGTTATCACTTTTTATACACATCTAGATGTGTATAAGAGACAGGTACTTTATAGTACTGTCCTGACCCTTCTCCTTAAGGATCCTGACCCTTCCCCTTAAGGCCATTTTTGTATCTTTAGCTACATTAAGCAGTTTTTGTACCTCCCACACAATTGTCCATGTACCATCATTTTATTCTAGTCATAGACTCTTATATTTTAGCACATCTTACCTCACATTGTCATTTTCTTAATGATCCTTTTGAGTTCACTATTTTCAATTTATGACTTTGATGAAGAAGATAGGATCCTAAGATATATGGTATAATGTTCTAAACCATTTAACAGTATTCTTTTTGACACCAAAGCCGTGCACTTTCCCGCTTTCAATCATGCAATTACGTTTAACCACTGAGTCTCGCCATATCTGTTTTAGGCTCTCTTTTGTGCAATGTGTCTAATCACATTTTTGTCATACAAACTGCGATTGAAAATTTTTGACAGCGATTTTCTCTGTCGTTTATCTTATTTTTAGATTAAAATATTGAATCCTATAATCAAGAAAGTACATGTAAATTACTGAGGCTATTTTTGTGTAAGTTTAAATATCTAGTGAAGATGTGTTAATTGATTCTTTAAATAATGAATACCTTTAAGGTATGGCTGAAAGTAGAAAATGACTGGTTATTTCAATTAATCAAAATGTCTAAAAATAATCTAATTACAGTCCATTGCTTACTCACTCAAATTCTTGGTACTATTTAAAGTGATCAATTGAAGCTACAAAGGTTTGTAAGCCCACGTACTTGTAGTATAACCATATACATACAGTACAATGCTTTTAAGGCAACAACTGCTTTAAGTGGCATTAGACCTATATTGGTAATTGTCCAGACACTGTATAACAACAGCCAATCAAGAAGATGGAGGTACAGGATGTTATATTTTCAACTTTCTAGGTGGTTAAGACTACTACTGCCAAGGATTTTATATAATAATTCACATTTTCTGTCTTTTCTATTTCCCTATGGAATGAATGTCCTTTCTCTCCTCACTTTAGCTTTTATGAGGCCTACTGTACATTGTAGTGTTAAAAGTTTTCATTTTTTTAAACTTAAAAAAAAAACTATGACTTACAGTAGTTGAGAACTTGAAATGAGCAATTTTTGATGTTTTTTCTGAATTTGTTCTGTGGCCTTACAATATTATATTTAGTGCCTATATTTTATGGTTTTTTTTCTTCTGCAGACCAGTTGACAATGCATTCAACAGATCTGAGTTTTGTATTAATATTCCATTAAAAATAATGTAGAACAAAATGTGACCTTGAGTCAGAAACATTTTGAAGTAATAAGCTGTGTGTTAAAATGGTTGCCAGATAATTTCATATTTATGTGTAATTTATTACCCCCTTGATAATTGGTTAGTGTTTCTTAGAAACTCAGCTATACCCATCAAACATTTCCTGTACATTTTATTTCACTGTTCAATTTTTATGAGACATAAGGAAGTTATTTCTACAAAATATTCATAATTTTGCAGTTTGATATACGTATGGATTCTTAGCACAATCTTCATTCAAAGTACTATGGTTTTGGTTTTTACACTTCATTTTTGTTTTATTGATTAAATTGTTAATTTATTGAAGGTAAACAGATAATAATTACAATTTTAGTATATTGAAACCTTTATTGATTAAGTTCGCTTTTAGGTAATTCTCAGGCTTTTGTTTTTGTCTACTGAATTTTTATTGTATCCTGTACAGATTTTGCCTGAAAATAAAGAAAATAAAAAAATAAAATAAAACAACAAATATTAAGATGTATACATCTAATAGTTATAGTGTCATGACCATCAATGGTCAGTTTGACAATTCACTGCACCAAGGACCTCACTGCTATTGTGTTCTTGTGTTGAAGAGTGACAGTGGTCAGATGACTTGATTCGTGCGGCGTAAGCTTCATCATTAATTAGCAAGTCTTACGATCTGTTAATCCCACCTAATCCCATAAAAATAGTTAATTTTAAACACCTTTAAAGGATTAGGTTTTATGAAAACCATCTTGAAGGAGACGTCTTGAATAAGGAGAGGTTGATATTCTGCCAAGATCTGTAACCAATTTAAATCAAAATGTTTGAAAGAAAATATAAAGAAACAAATATCTACCATGTTTAGTGCCATCTACATAAATTTATTTTAATTAAATTTTATATATACACTTTTTGATAAATATAATATAATTGATCAGATTAGAATTAAAGTCTTGAATCAAGTTATGTGTTTAATTGAAAAAATAGAGAGCATTTAATTAATAATTGCTAGGACCTCAATCTTGTTGTCAGCTCTGAATTTCTATTCTTGATTCTCAAGTCAAAGTAACTTTAGGCACAAAATAATACCCTTCAATATAGGTCTGAGAAGTCACTTAAGCTGAGTTGCTTCGTTGTTGGCTCACTTTGTCATAAATTGCATAACATGATTGGCTTTGACATACTTCTTAAGAAATTAGCAATGTTCAGTGATAAAATTTTCTTTGAATCAAAGAATAATTTCTGCCGGTATGCATAAAAATAATTAAGCAGATGGATGAAAAAAGATCTTAAAAGAAAAGCAATAAATGTCAAGTATAGTAAAACATAAAACAAACTAAACAATGATGAAAACTAGAAACTAGTAGTTAATGTAAAGTGAAGAAATTTCTTAAATACGAAGAAAATATAATTACATTTGATATACGTCATTCACTATAGTTTAAATTTGAACTTTAACTTATTGTATTAGACACTTAATCATTTCAATTTATCTAATGGTATTGAGACAAAATGTTCTGAAAACAGTTATAAGTTTGAACTATTACACAATATGCCCCTGATATGCTGCTGAATTTTGTTTTATTTATTTTATTCAACTTTCCCTGGATAGAAAAAACAAAATAAAAAACCACCAGAAAGGCAAGTACAGAACAGGTGAACAAACACCTCTACAGAGTCGTCTTACCACCGTAGATAGATCAATTTCAACTTAAAATAAATATAATTTTTATTAAGATAAAAATTTGTCTAATTTGCAAATAACAATGAAAAAATTTAAATAGAAAATATTTTGATAGTTTACTAAAAATATTTGGTATATTTTATGGTAGAATATCAGCCTAAAATGAAGTGGTGCATTTTATGTTGCAAAACCCATTGTATTTCCTAGTTCGATTCTACTGAAAGCATCTCCTATAACATTGTTTTAGCCCATCCATAGGCACTCACCCAAAGTCCTATCGCATGATCATAAGAATACGATTATCAGTGGTTGTCAAGGGGAAATTTTTTTTTTATACATATGGTTTATAAGTTTAAAAAAAATCTTTTCAATTATGTTTCCACAGTTATTCTGGTGTTCAGCCAAAGGCAGATTGGAAGGGTTTGAACAAAGAAAGAATCATGTATGGTGGCAAGTCATACAGCTTAAATTCAAGGTTTGGTAACAAATTTCATTTAGTAAAACAGAAAATAAATAGAATATAGATGTTTGTATTTCCTTGTGAATTTTGATTATTGTTTTAATCGAAAGATAAATGTGTGAACTTATCAGGACGAGTCAAAATTATCAGGGCGAGTCGAATGGCAGAGTGGTTGTGGCAGGGGTGCTGCAACCTAGCTACAGCCATAATTTCGACAGACTCGTCTATGGTTCTGGTGGTGGAACAAGTCTTCTCAGATAAGGACTATAAACCGTAGGCCCAGTACACAATTGGCTCATGTGTACTTTAAAGAACGCAGTACATCTTTCGAGACAAGTAGGGGGTTACCCTGTGTACTTGTCGATACAGCTTTGTTACCCTGCAGTTACCGACCAGTGGGTCCTTTGCAGGATGCACCTACGTAACATAAAAATTAGTTAGATTTTTTGAAATATGATAGATTTAACATTTTAGCAAGTTGAATTCATATTCAGGGCTACAGTTGATATAGTTTTATTCATATTCAGGGGAACAGTAATGAGGAAAACTTCCCAAAGTAAGATAACATTGACAAGCTTAGGAGCGAAAGAAGCAGAAAAAATCAAACAAGAATCATTAAAAAATGTTCTTGTCATGCATTCAAAAGCAAGCGATGAACAGGATACCTTAGTACGTGTTGGCGGAGTCTCCAATGAATTGTAAGTTTATAGCATGTTTTTTCTGTTTTTTGGTGGGCCTTTTGGTGGTGAATTGGGTAGTACAACAGAATACAATCTTTTGCTGTATTTCGCATACTGTACTGCATTCGTTTACATGCACAATTGCACCAACAGCTTAAACGTTTAAGCAGATAGAGACCTAATCAGAGGCAAGTTTACAACCAATGTCTCTTCCGAAAGACAGTTCCCTTTCAAAACTTGCATTGCGGCCCTGTTGCTGGGACACATTGATAGGAGCGATGAAATTGAACTCGATACCATAGTTATGAAAGTTGGTTCAGCGTGGACACAGTTTTTTACTCTATTTTAGCTGACTGGCCTAAGCTATTGTATATGTTGTAGTTTTTCATCCGTCGTTTATCTCTTATGGACCTTCTGTCGAATAAAAATATGTATATCATCCTTTTTGTAAGTATTGAATTTGATATTGCTTTGGTAAGTACTAGTATGAAATAAACATCAAAATTAAATTAACACTCTTATTCTTCATGTCATATTTTAACTTTCATGAGTAACATTATTGACATTATTTGTGAGGTCACTGACCTCCTGGTGCCATGGATAAGTATAATATAAGTTAAAAGATCAAAGGCATTAACAATAATCACATAGGATTAACAATAATCACATAGGATTATGTTAATACTTTTTGGGTTGTGTCCCTTATGATATGGAAGTGAATTTTAAATCAGGGATTTAAGGAGAATTTTATGCTTTGCATCTTGCTATAGCGTAATGATAGATCTACCGATAGATCAGTTAGACCCAAATGTATCTAATTACAGCTAAGTAACTAAGAGACTTTCTGCATTGTTTATGAATGTCTACATTGAGTGTATTCAACAGTATTCATTAATGTTTTTAATTAACATGGTTTTCAATTGTTCTTTGATATGTAGTAAGGATTTGCTGAATGCACCGACTCCAGGTGCCCAAAATGTGCTCCGACACCTCGTGTCAGCTGACAAATGTAAGTTTAACTATTTAAACTCCTTTTTCACTAATAGAAGGAAATTAAATTTACATTAACCTAACCCTTTACATCAGTACATTGAGTATAATTATCATATTTGTTATTGCAGTTGTTGTAGTACTAGATAGTTTATTTATTAAAGCCTGATATTTTTAGTATTTTAGCAAGTCATAATTCTAGCTTATAGGTAAAAATTACATATGTATACTTAGCACTAGATTTATTATTTGGTGTGAATTACTGATTCACTGTATTATTAATATTATTGCTATCATTAATACTTGCTTGATTCATTCTATTCTAACTACTACTCAGATGTCTGCGTCCTCCCACGTCTCATTTCATTCTGTTAACTTGACATCCAAGCAAACTTACAATAATTCAAAGTAAATGATGATAGATAAAATACGAGTTTGGAATATTGATAATACGATTTGATATATAAATCTTTAAATGATCCAGGTAAATATACAGTGATTAAGATGTGTAATAAATCTATTAGATTTCTGAAATTTTAGCCCACACATATGTAAACGAACTCGACTATACAGAAATGATATAAGGAGAATTTCTCTACAAAATGTCAGGAAGTATGGAAAGAGTTCACTCATCGTAGTTGCAGACACTTATTCTATAAACTAAACTGAATTGAGTGAAATAATAACTTATTTAGATTACTGGCACATAGAAAGTAAATTCAATAAAAGAAATGGTCAGGATAATAAGACTAATGATGATAACGATACGCAATGTTTTTACTTCTTTACCACTATTATTTTTGCCGCTGTTATTGTTTTCCTTGCCTGCAGATATTCTTTATTTATATTTCTTTTATTGTTACAAGTGATTTTAGTGTCTAAGAGACAAATAAATTGACTAAAAGTCTCAAAGTTGTGTAAATCCTCCCCCTGGATTACCTATTGATATAAACCCTTTCATTGAATGTTTCCAGGCAAAGATCCGGTGATAGCAGTTTCAGCCAAGGACCTTCTAAAACAACACAAAATTGACATGAAGAGGAAAGTAGCTGCAAGACATGAACAGCAACAAGCATGCAGCACCCCTGGATGCAACCCTGGATCGTCAAGCATTGCAAATGCAGCAAATGGAAACATGGTGGACCTTGGCTCACCTACACAATTCCATGGAAAAGGAAACCCTGAAAGGAGTGTCCCAAAACTTGGGCGGGGTTTTACATCTTGTAACCCTGTAAGGGTTAAGACACCAAACAGTTTAGAGGAGGCCAAGGTAGACTTTTAATGTTCCATTGTAATTTGATGACAATATGAATATACAGTTGAACTTTCCTATAAGTCGAATCCAAAATGGCATTGAAAAATTAGATTAAATTAGATAAAATTTGTCTTAAAGATTGTTAATTAATGGAAAACACTACAATCTGGCATGTAAAATAAGATTGAATATTAAAATACTAAAATATTTGAGTTGTGCAAAATCGACTTAGGCAAGTTTAGCTGTAATGCATTTAGTATCACCCCGATGAACATCTAATGAGTTGATTTATATAATCAATAATATTTTAAATTGTAAATTTTTCAATTTTCTAAATAGTAAAAAAGATGATAGACTATACCATCACAAAACTGTTCATTTAAAAAAAAGAGCGAGAGACTAGGAACCTTGGAATAAAAATCAAACTAGCTGTTTGTTTTTAAAGCAAATTCATCCAGATTTACAGATTGTTGTCAATTTGTTTGTCTTCTTTCATAGCGTCAGGCAGTAGCCATTATACGTGCAAAGGGTGAACTAGCAAAAACCAACCCTAATAAGTTATATAAAGGACCAGTTTCTGAGAAAGCTAAACAACATATTAAACAGAAGGTTGAGAAGGACACACAATCTATACAAGACAAGGAAAATGGTTTGTTTTTATTTATTCTTTTCTATTGAATTATATTTGTTTTTAAATCATATTCTTTGAAGCCAGTTAGTACAATGAATTATTTAGTGTAATTTTTATTAATTGTTGAATAATTATCAAATATCAAACTGTAAAAATATTATTTAAATCCAAATAAAATGTTCATTTCACTATTATTTTACTTCTATGTATGTATATTAATTTTAATTTATTTTAATTGAATAATATGTATTTGGTACACTACAGTATGCCTGTATAAAGGCATCATATGCAATTCATAGTAGATCAAAGTGCTTTTAAATATAGAATATCTAAATAAATATGCAAATATATAACCTAACATTGATATTATATTTACCAGATGAAAGTCCTAAGTCTTCACAGCCAAAGAAACGGATAGTTTTAGGTCTAAAGGTCGAATTAAGCAAAGAAGACATTGAGAAGATTTCTAAAACAAAGTCCCTTAATGCCCATCTCCTCTCTCAGGTGAGTTCAAATTATCAAGTTATTAGTTTGCTTTTTAGATGGGAATCAGGAGAGAACTTTACCCATATGTTAAGATTTATAATTATTTATCTTTATTAATGCATCTTGAAAAGTTAAACATCCTGGGATTCATCTTTTGATATTTATATCAAGTCATTCACATTACCACTAGACTACTTGACAACCTAACATGATGTCGACATGTGGAAATACTAATTGAGTACAAAAATATAACTTACAATTTGGTGCATAAAAATTATTCTGAATCAAAATTTGATACAATTAGAGATAAAAAGCAAATTTATTTTTATTTTAATATATGTAATTTGATTAATCTAATCAAAGTGGCTGGTGGATAATATGTCTAATAATGTTCTTAAATATTGAATTATAGTTAAGCTTTATCAATAGAATTAAAAGGTGTTTTATGGAATAAAAGTATGAACATATGTTAGGAATGGAGCCTACATCACCATTTATTGAGAGAGATGTCAGAAGCTAGAAAGGCAATTAAATGGTAGTAGTATAGAGGTTGTAAAAATGTTAAGATTAATGTAATAAAATCTCTAACTATTTTTCTTACTTGTGTATTAATGGAGCTAAGCTAAAAGCTTAGCACTTATTCCCCTGTAACTTGGCAACAGCTGGCCACAGCATTATTTATCAAAGCTTTTGTGTTGTTTAAGACTTTCTCATGAAATTATAATTCTATCTGGCGCCCTCTAGAGACAGTAGTATCTTTGAATGCAAAATATGCATTATTTCTATCGTATGTAATAATATTTAAAATAATAATAATAATATTAAACCTTATGAATGAATAATATACTTACATGATAAGTTAAAAACATTATATTCATGCTAAATAAATAAATATTCAAAAAAAATTTATCATTTTCATGGAACTGATGTATACACCATTTTCGCCAAATTTGAAATGAAAATTTCCGATAACCCAGTAACCATCACTGGGGGACTTCCAGAGGCCCAGCATTTCAACTCTACGTAGTTATCATCATGAGATAATTAAACAATAAAACTGAATTACTAATGAACATGAATATTTTAAAACGAAAAAAGAACGAAATGTTTGTATTAAAGTCTAAGTCTTAAAAAGTTATTTTAATGTTTACATATACAGTAATTAGCATGATTGTACGTGTTGTCTACTGCTGCTATAGCAAAGGTCTAGCGGCGCGATCCGCTGTGCGGTGTTCTATTCGTAACTAGCTAGCTGCTCAGGCTAGGCCGCTGGAAGTCCCCCAGTGAGTTGTGAGGTGTTGGCGGTGCTATTTCAAAATAATCTCGATAAAATGGTCTATAAGCAAGTCTTTCCTGCATGGTAGCCAATTACAGTTTCAAAATCATCAATATGATGACAACGACAGCTGGGCAAGAAGTAGTCATGCGGTGTTAGTGTCTTAGATACCGTCACATTATTCATTATATAATATTTATTTTTGCTGTTTGCTAAGTTTGTAAAAACGTGCCTAAAGAAATGAAAGGAAAAATGAAAGTGTCTGCATCACAACCTCCTCCTCCTCCTGTTGTTATGGTTATCTGTCTTCTGCCTTTCACAAGGATGTCTTGTATTACACAAGTTTTGATGACCTCATGAAATTATTAGATATTTTATAAAGAGAGTATTGCCTAGCAACGTGATTCGAATGTACTGAGAGGCTCATTATTTTATTATAAAAGTAGATAATGTACATGATTTTGTAAAGTTTGTATGTTTATGATGCTGTTGCTTAATTTAATTAGTAATTAATGAAATGTTGTTTAGTTATTAGTTAATAAATTATATTGGAATTGGTAATGATGGTGATAATATGGTTGAATGATGAATATTATAAAAAGAATAATAATGGTAATTTTTCTTATGATGCTGAAATCTTAATTATTTTATAAATAACTATGAAAATATCAGGGTCCCATATTACAATTTTTTTTTAGTGTGTCATAATGTACTTGCCCTTGCCCAAATATTTTTTTTTTTTACAAATGCTGAAGTTTTACGTAAATTTTTTTTGAGTGTGTGTATTATACTGTATAACAGCTACAAGCAAGTACCGGTACCGTACTCGATTAAGCGCCGAGGTGTTAATGACATTTTTGGAGGCTTCAGTATGGCGCTTATAAAACAAAATTCCATGCCCGTTCCCATGTTACCTATTTCACGTATTCCCGGAGTAATATTCCCATGCTATCATCGTAAATAAACATTTTAGAGAAAAGCATAGTGTCTTCATTGTGTTATTTATTCATTTTAACACTATCATTGTATTTAAAACCCTGTTTCTCAAAGTGTTTTCTCTCAATTAAGCACTGCGGAACTTATTCAAGAGCGGCGCTTAAACGGAAAAAATCATGTTTGATGTGGTGCTTATTCGAGCATTTACGGTAAACGTAAGATTAGACAACACATTATCCTTCAGAATATGCTCCTCTTTGATATTTACAACCAACAGTTATCTTCATTTGAAGATGTTTACAATGGCTTTCACATCTTTACAGTACGTAGTGTGTTTTATTTACAGTAAAAATAGTGAGAGTCACACGGATGACTTATAATATTTTACTCGTCCTTACATGATTTAGGTCGCCTTGGGCAATAGGACTACTGTAAATATCAGAACCTGAAAGATAAATTCTAAAACCAATAAAACTATTTTTGTTTTAAGTTTGAGCTTGAAATGCAAGAGCAGTACTTTGCCAAGATGGAGGTGAAAGAAGGAATGGAACAAATGATGGATTCAGTGATGGAAAAGGAAGTGAATGTCGTGTCATGTAAACAGGTATGCTTATATTTATTATTTGTTTTTATATTCTAGTTTATATACCTCATACATAGATTCTAGCCATCTGATTGGTTAAGAAGCAGGCAATAAAAGTACTATTACCTTAAAAAATAATACATTTTTGCCCTGTCGCGTAATGTGCAAACTCTAGGCCTCAATTAACATTGATGGTAAAGGGGACTGAGACCTTCACGACAAAAGAGGTTGGCCCTTGGCCGCGCCATGGATCAGCGAGTAGACAATAAACAAATATGGATGCTGGTCGGTTCTTAACCTTAAGTATATAATAAATTCCATTTTTATTTTTTATGTGATTTTTTTTTCATATTAAAGATGTACCTCTTATTGGAATTTTTCAAAATAATATAATATAAAATAAATTTTATTTTATATTAATTTTATATTATATTATTTTGAAAAGTTCCAGTTTATGTAACTTTTCTTTTATAATTTATTTCACTTAATTTGTTTTACTTACTAAGCTAATTACAAAATATTTTGTATAGATATTCCAACTAGTAATCTTTTTTTTTGGTTTGTGAATGTTGGCCCAGAAATTATGACAATCAACCATTCGTTGTATAACATCTGTTTTTCATTCATGGTGGCTTAGACTTGTTAATATGGTAGTGCTCTTCCATTGCCATTTGTTCTGGTTCAGATCATGGTATATAGCCCTAGCTTAAGGGTGCATTCACTTTAAATCCGAAAATTTTTGGATCGGAAAGCCCACTCAACTGTTCAGAATATTGGATCAGTATGTAAGGATAGGGACACTGGTGCTCAACCCTACTCATGACTAGAACCAAGTCTTCTCAGTTGAGGACTTTGAAATGGAGATCCAGTGTACACATGTGGCTCGTGTGCACTGTAAAAAACCAATGCATATTTCGGAAGAGTAGGGGTTACCTTGATGCTATGGTTAATTTCAGACACTGCCGTTGTGAAATGATATGAGCATCTACTATAAGTGCCCCTTTTTACGACATCAGGTAGTCATGGAACACACCCATCCGCAATTCAGCACAGTGATGCTGCCAGTTATTGGCTATTCTTTTACTTTAAACTTTGGTTATCTACATAATGCACTTTTCATAGGTGTCATTATGAGTTTTAAATGTTCACTACAAGGATGAAAATAGTTTAAAAATGATGATGTCAGAAACGGGGAAAAAAATCATATTGCACCTGTTTTGTTTCATTAAAATTCCTAAAGACATATTTGCAGATAATGGAAGTGTATTATTAGATACATGTCTTGAGGATACGCTTGGTTCCTTGACATTTTCAGTCAATTATTTAGGCTGAAATAAAGAAACTGCATCAAATCTACATACATTAGAACTGTCAACAGGAATTGATTTTACATTTGGTAAGTCGCGTCCCAATATCGGGTCTTCTGGGTCTCGCTACAATGACGTCAAAGTGGTAGAAAAAATATGATGCCAGCACAAAAACTACTATTGATTCCATTTGATTGATAACTTAACATGTCAATATCTATTGCATACTGACAATATGCATATTTAAAAAAAAAAAAAACACCCCAAGAAAAGGGAAACATAAATGCTCAATACAAAACATTTTATTTTATCCCATATATTGTCTGTGTGACATTTAAAAACAAAAAAAAATTAGTATTGTGTGTGACATTTTTTTAAAATTTAGTATTCAAAATCAATGGTTGATATATACGTAATAGTATTAATGAGATAAAAATAAGTTTGAAAATGTTAATGCATAGATAGCAAGTATGCTCACCAATTAATAATTTAATAAGATGCTTAATTTCGGGTGTGGTCTCAGTGTTTGCAGTTGTTTTTGAAATGTGTACAATTTCTGGCATATTAGAGGATGACCCAGATAGTAAGTCAACATCTTAGCTAACCATCAAGTAACTCTTTTCATGAGCATACTTTTATGAACCCTTTTGAATTAGATGATTATTTATAGAATATCCATATTTTACAATTTCTTGTTGCTTCCCGTTGATTTATAATAAAGTGATTCAATACCTTCCGGAATTCACAATCCATGGGTTTCCGGGCATTCTTAAAATATTCCATTTCATCCATGTTTCTGCAAACATTCAAGTACCTCATGAACTTTCAAATTTTTTTTTTTGGTCGTATGTACATAATTCATCCTTCTCAGATAAAGTTTGCCTACTTTCGGGTGATTTAGCAGTCATGCATCGCAAGCATATAGTGTCCTCACTATTTGTACTGTATGCCCTTGAAGTAAAATGACTTGAGTTAACTACATTAAGGTATTAAATACAAGTTTTACGGTTGATCTATGACAATGTCAACTATTTCAGCGTCATCGTAAAGTGCAGAGAGCATGCCTGTGCTCTGATCTTTGGGATTATTGATATTTATGATATAAATACTAGCAATATCCATTCATATTAGAGTTTTAACATATTTTTTTACTAGATATTCCTTTTTTTTTTATTATATGATTATTATGTTTGCTTCTTGATATATTGTATTTCCTACAAACAGTGCCTTTCTCCACTGAGGTTCTACCATACTGTAACTGCTCTGTGCATTATAAGTAGAAACGTTAATCCACTAAGGTCATTATGGTCTGCATACCCCTATCCTGAGTATCATTTTTTAAGACACAAAAAGGGTGTTTGACAAAAAATTCGGAAACAGTTAATGAGATAAGATTTTTGAATATTTAAAAACTGGGGGAAAAGGGGGCGTAATTTAAAAATACTAGTAAAGGTTACTTATCAAAGTTGATTATTTACTCACTTTGGTAGTGTTTATTTCTTTTAGTGTAAATATACATGGTTCAAGGCTTCTGATTTATGCAAGAAAGAGAACCATCAGTTGAAATGGCATGCTGGGAAACAACGGTTTTTCACCTGTAAGGATTGCAAGACACGCTGTATCACGTTTGATCGTATTCCAAACAAGTCTTGCAGGTGAGTACAATTAATATAGTAATAATAAATAATAATATGTTAGACTTATTTATATTGGGCTTCATGAATAAAAGGGTCCCCCCCCCCTTTTCCTCCACTACAGTCTTGTAATGTCTATGCATAGATCCATACTATAATTGTCAATAAATATAATTCCATGTGATTAACCAATTATTACTCACTGTTGTGTTGTTGACAGTTTTGATGAATTTCATTGTTTTTTCTATCAATGTTTGAAATGTCACTGCTGACAAAAAGTATGATTGATGTATGACAAAGGTAATGTTTGATCAATGATGATAAAATGAACTAGTTTTTAAAGATTTATCTAAATGGATTATCCCTCATCTGAGATATTGATGGAAAACACTGGAAAAAGATTTTTTTTTTGTTTTTGTCAACATTTCTACAATTTACAAGTTGGTGCTAGTCCAGAATATTAGATTTCTTGAAGGTCAATTTGGGCATGTCATGAGCATAAATTATTTTTAATTTGTTTTATAAAAATAAAGGACATTTTACAAGACCTTTTCAAGAATATGGTTGTATGAGACCCATCATTAATAATCTGAACATGTGGAATGTGACCTAAATGACCTATAAATTAATTATTCACAAGATTAATCACTTAGAAAAGTCACATGTTGGTATAAAATGCTGTGACTTAAATATGGATAGGATTTTTTTTTTAAGAGGAATGAATGATATATAGCCTCTAACCAAATTTATTCAGCATTTTTATTGTAAGACAAGAATTAAATGTCTTTAGAATTTTAATTTCATATGACCTACAGTCAAACGTACATTTTACGTACCAAGGGGTGTTCGTAAATTGAAAAATTCGTAAACTAGATCAGTTGTCAGTTTCCAGTACCTATGTCTAGCTATCACCTGCCATTGAGCGCTGATAAGCGGACGGTGGCCAGGCCTAGCACGAACCGACAATGCAGCAGCGCGGTCTACCGCGCTAGACCCTAGCTGAATTTACCTTCGATAAAAACCAACTCAATCCGACGACACTTGCATTATTGGTTTGTTGTTCTGGTTAGGTTTATCACATTAATATAGTGATTAATTATACCAGAAATGGAAGAAAAGATCGAACAATTAATAAATAAATACAACAAAATTGATTTTATTAAGAAAAATATTCATAATCACTTTGTAAAACGTGCGCAATCATACATTTTTTACGGTGGTAATTGGTCGATGATGATGTCATAGGGGGCAAAAACCATTCGTAAAATCTACGTTTGTAAAGTGGATGTTTTAATGTACATCTCAATATTTTGTTTGTTTAGATTTTCAGATTTTTAACACAAATAAAACAGAATAATATAATATATTGCAAATATATCAATAATGACACTGTACACACCTGCTTTTCATGGTGTCTAGTTTTTTTGAATTTTATTGATTCCAGTTCAATCTTCATTTTAAGTAATCACATTATGTCCTTATCCTTAAAGGCTAAAATTTTAACCATAGTCTATAATTTATCATTAGATATAATCTATAATAATATCAATTTTAACTACAGTATAATACAAAATTATAACTAGCTAAAATGTAATAATATCAATATTCAAACAATATATTCATTTTTTTAGGTAAAGTTTTCTTGTTCACTAAGCAAAAAATATTTCATATTGTAATTACAAATATCTTACATTTTTAGTTCTCGATAAAAACATAAAAACATTTTCATTACTACTACTACTTGGTACTTTGTATATGCTAATTGGTGTTAATTTGACAGGAGGTGGAAAGAGTTAACAAAGTAAAATCCTTTATCCTCTCAAATTAAATCATCTGAAAAGAATTGAACTATACTGTATTTAGTAAAAGTTTGTTTCATCACATAAACCGTGCATCCGTTGAAAGGTCCTCGGTAATTGTAGCACAAACACCGGAAATACCTAGAGGTATTTTGGGTCTTGTGGTTGAATGATAACTGACTGTTAATCATCATGTTTTGGTTGTATGAGAAAGTTCTATATTCAGCAGATAAACTCCATGCCTAATAGCATTGTAGACAGACACATCCAACATGCCTTCCAATCAATGCTTATAGCAACAGCAAAAAGTTACTAATGATTATTTATTTATTATTATTTATTCAACCATATTTTCCAAGTATTGGCATTGGACACCAGTAGGCAATCCCCTTTTCTTACCGATTATTTCACCAGAACAACATCCAAAACACTATCTTATGGATGTTTACACCTTAAAACCTTCTTTCAATCTAACTCTTCACTTGTAATAAATCACTTACATACATAGTAATTATTTATGTATAGCTGTTTCAGTGCATTTGGTGAGTATTTTCTTTCCATTGCTCCATTGTATTTTCTTTTTTTTCTATTTCACACAGTCAATTTTAATTTCAATTTATTCAGTATTTGATTGGCAGCAGAATAGGTAGCTGAATAACATGAAATTTACAATTAGAAATTCTTACACTAAAAAGACCAAACAGTAATACCAACACATTAAATACAAAGGAATGAAGTGTAATAATATTGAAATATAATAACACAAAGTTACGAATGAAGGCACAAAAGTACAAATGGAGACCAAGTAAAAGGAGAATCAGCTTTTACAGCAATGACATTATTAAATAAAGGCCATCTCAGTTGTATTTTCAAATATATATTTTTAAGTGGCAATCCCATTTGTTGAGCAACAAATAGATTATTGTTCATTTGGTGTACCTTGAACACTTCCATTTTATTTGTAATCTCCTTATAGAGTTTATTGCCACTTACCTTTATCTTTAATTGCTAATGTAGAGGTATTATACAATCAATATTATGTGTTTCTCCCAGCTTTTTAAGTCTTTTTTGATAAAGATATATGGTAGCCTCATTGTGTCTCTTGCTCCATTTGATTAAATCTAGGGTGTAATAATATCATTCGCCATTATGAAATCTTTTCATAATATCCGTGTTATTTTACTCTTGTTTATGACAAAATGTTATGTTATTGGTTAGCCCCCACACAATTGTGATTTGCTATTTTTAACATTGAATGTCTGTGTACCTCACAGAATTTACAATAGAAACAATTTTTAAGGTACATCCCAATTTAGTGTGGGTAAGGTTAGGCATAAAACTATTCATCCATTTCATTCAACTTGTACTAGGTCATCTTTTTTTTTATTTACTCAGTCATTACAATTATTTATAATTATTTCTTACTGACATAGCAAAGTTAAGAGAACTTTTCAACCAATATGAAATGCTGCCCTCTGTTGCTGATATTTTAATTACTTAAGTCGTTGTGGGATTAATGCCATTCGTGGATCTCGTTTGTCAATTGTTTGATAGACAAACAATAACCGGCATTTCTAAAGGTATTGAAAAAATAGTTTTTGGCATAGTTGTAATTTAGGTTTGGATTGTGAAGGGTACAGTCATTTTAAAGGTCATAATATGAATACTAAAAATACTGTAGGCTAAATGTTATATGTATATATATATATATATAATATATATATATATATACTACTGAAGTTGTTTCATTATTTTCTATTATTCTGTCGGAACACACGTGGAACACAAATGAAATATATATATATATATATATATATATGAGATTAGCAATTCATTTCACCCTGGTTTAGACAATTTAATTCAAGTCTTTAATTTGGGATTATTAATTCATCTGTGACTTGACAAGAATGATGTGTTTATCATTCTAATTTCAAATGAAAACTAATAGCATACAAAATAAATAAATAATAAATAAATACATAAAAGAATTATTAAAAATATTAAATATTATTTTATCTTAAAACCTACCGTATTCTTATAATTGATTTATTTTTTATTGATCAAATTTATTACTGTAGTTTTTTATTGAGTTTTTATTATGGAATATAAATCTTTAGTATGTTTGTTTTATTTTTAATGAATATAGATATATTACATTATATTTAATTAATACAAGCATTAAAAAATATATAGTTTATTTAGAGTATTTCTAAAAATCATATTTTAATGGGATCAGTAAAATGATATTAAAATCCAGAAGTTCAGCATTAGGTTAATTTGTTTTGACTCTGAAAAATATCATGAATATAATTTTGACCTCATCCACTTTGAATTATCATTACTCGTCCATTATGTCAACAACTCAACATGAAGCCACTGGCATGCCATTGCCCAACTGTTGTTTGTATCATGATCCAAAAATCCCTCAAGCTGCAAACAGACAAGAATAATTTACTACAAGTTCAAATTAACAGTTTTAGGAAAAGAACCTTCCGTTAAAAATTCCCAGGGTCCACATTAGGCAACCCAGCCAGCATTCTATTTTTAGATTTAACCAGAATAACTTTCAGTTAAGTTTCTACCTAGTACCAGTAATTTGTTGGGGATTTTTTTTATCTGAAATAATAATAATAATAATAATAATAATAATAATAACAATAAATAATAATGATAATAATAATAACAGCATTAGTATTTGTTTCTACAATAAACATTAATAAAAAGCTATTGTTTGCTTTTTTGATAATTTTTTTCTAAGCTTGTATGCATAATAATATTGACAAATTAATTTGTTTGTCGTCAGGTTGTACATCAGTGAAAAGCTAGTTACCAGAACTATTAAAATGGCCTATAGAAAATTTACTGTTATACTAAAATTTAAACCTATTGTCGCATTTTGACTTAAAACTTACTCATAAAATATAGGCTAATTTTAAGTTATCTTGTTCAGGAGTTTTCCTAATACACTATGTATTCTTTTGCTATGGTCATTGCTAGGGTGATTAGCTACTGATTTTTAATACAGTTAAGTCAAAGTGGTTCATCAGGATTAAAAGTTTGATATGTGACGCAAATGTGGGCAAACTTTTGATGCATTTGACCATACAGTAAAGGTGCTGCTTCTTATAATTTGTCAAATCATTGTTGTTATTATTGCTGTTATCATTATTGTTAGTTAATAGCAGTTTAACTTTTTTAGTCCAGTTTAGTCTTCTCAATATG